GGGGCCCCCAGGAGAGTGGGGTCGCCCGCTCGAAAAAAGAAGGTAGGCTTTCTTGTTGGAGAGCAGAGGAGGAGTAAGAAAGGACTCGAAGCTGCTAATTAAGATGAAAAGACGGTATTTCTGGGGAGGAGAGAGGCCGTTGACATTGTGAAGAGAGCTCTTACGTCCCGCTGTGGCCTGGTGAAATAGGTGTGGTCTGCGAGGCAGGGGCCAGGATGAAGTAAGCCCTATGAGCTGTTCTCGGAGTATCTCTCTGAGGAGAAAATAAAAATGTTGCTGGGTGCTTGAAATAGAAGCTAGTAAAATTTGTTTTAAACAAAATGCTTAAGGAGTGACGCTGCAGGAGCTTTTGCTGTTGCAAAGAGGGGTGTTTTAGTAGCAGCCTTTTCAGAGTGATTCCCAACGTTAAGCATGCAAAAAGCATGATAACCAAAATATCCACTAGTGCGGAGCGGGGCACACAGGGTCCAGCAGTGTCTAAGGCAGGACTCTCACTCCGCAGAGCAAACACCCTCAGTCGCACCGGGAGGGACCTGAAGGGGACAAGGGATAATTGCTAATGAACAGCTGGGTACTGAACGTGTCTTGGGCTCCAGCCCCTCTATTCGCCTTGCGTGTCCTTAATTCACCCTGCAGTGTTTGCCAGCACGACACGTGTGAGATAGATAGAAAACTGGATCCGCTTGCAACATAAAGCTAGAGGTGTCTCTCTTTGCTGACTTTCTTCCATGATGCAAGCGAAATGGAGAGTAGAAAATATCTGGCCGAACTGCCTCTAATGTTACGCAGCATTTCTCCGGATGAGGCAGCAGCAGGAGAGAGAGGGAGCACGCGGGGTTGGGGGCAGGGCGAGGGCTGTTTTTAGGAACAGGGAGGGAGGGAGAAGACATAGGAAAATGGGGAAGAGTGACTGCCGGTGGCTGCTGGAGTTACATGAGGCAGGAAAAAAAAAAAGAGGAGAAGATGGAGGGGCAAAGACAAAATGGGAAAGAATAAGCAGGATGTGCTGTGGTGTGGAAGAAGTGTTTTAAGACATTTTAGCGTTGAGCTTACGGCCAAACTAACATGTTTTAAAAATACTGCAAGGACAAGAGAGGACATCTGACAAGGTTACGTAACATAATTCCTGTGACTTGATCATTTGCTATTTATGCTTCTTCCTACCGGCATGTGATCAACATGTATTTGAACATCCCAGTGTCTAAAGTAGCTTTGGGTTACACATTTAGCAAATACACACAGAAGACTCTGGCTGGCAGTGTTGTGGCTAGATAAATTTCAGTCTCTCCTCATCAATTACGCTGATCCTTTTCACAGAGGATGTGTGTTCCAGAATAAAAGCAGAAGTGGCATTAGAGATTCAGGGCTTTAAAACAGTGCATACTCCTCACCGCCACAGAGAAACTTACACTTTAGCCAAGTGTAACATAAAACTACATCCTGGACTTGGCAAAGAGTCTGCTGAGAGAGTGCCTTTATCACTAGCTCCCAGACCTATAAACAACTGGACACATCTTGAATAGCCTTTGTTTATATCAAAACATCTGTTACTCTTTTCAGTGTGGTCTTCTTTGCAAGAGTGGTGGTGCCTCCTTTGTGTAGCACTTCCAATGTCCAGTGATAAGCTTATTAAAATTAGAAGTCTTGGCATAACTTTTAATTTTTAAAGTAGATATTGGTGACTACTGCTGGGTTGGAATTCATGCACTTGCCAAGAACTAACTTCATATCCTGAATTAAAGCCCTTAAATGCTAGTATGTTTCAATAGAAAAAGAGAAATACTTTTCGCCAAGAGAAAATCTTGTTTGCTAATGACAAATGACATTTTTATTGCAGAAGAACAGCTAGAATATTTCAGATATTAGTTACCTGTTTCCCACAGGGAACATCCTATTTTTATGCCCTGTGTAACTCACACTGGATATACCTACCCCCTTTCCTAAAGAATTAGCTGCAAGGTGAGAGAATTCCCCAGAATTCACTCTTTTCAGACCTAAATATCACGCTCACACTATAGGTCCAGTCTGTAGGACTGTTTCTGTGTGTGTGGGTGGGACGGCTCACTTCCCTTTTTCCTTGCAAGAAGCTCATATCTCAGGTTATTATGGGGAGGAAGGGTTTTCTCTAAAAGTTGTTGTCACTAGGCCCTTTGTGGGAAAGACACTGAATGGCAGACAGACCAAGAGTTTCTTAGGATTCATTGGAGACATCATACACCTTTCTCCTTGCTGCTATATACATGTCTCTCTGCCAGTCCTGCCACGGACTGGATCATGTAAGACTAATAGCCTGTGGAAAGGTAATAAGGTACAGACAGGAATATACATAATTTTCAAGAGGCACAGCAATCTACAGTACTATTTAGGCTTCCCCTGCATCCTTCTATCTCAGTGTTCTTCTTTCCCTTAATCATGCTGCATATTAGAACTTAAACCCCTGTGCTTACTGTCTGTGTAGGACATACGTTCCTTGAAACAGCTGGCATGAGACCCATCAAGCCCTCTCTGCCAGGTGACCCACATATCAGCCTCAGACCATGGTCAAAGTCACCTGCAAATACCATTACCAGCTCACCTGGGCAGATTGGTTTTCAGCCCAAGATTTTTCCATGTAGGAAAGACTGTGATTTAAAAATTGTCCATTGTTACCCTAAGCTATGAAATCTTTCAAATGTCAATCTAAAATAAAGATAGAAAAAAAATGGAGAGGGCAGGCAAAATGGAGTTTGTGGTCAGAAGTTCCTAATATAAGAAGAATTCTTAAATTGTACCAGAAATATTTCCCAGATTGTCACAGTAAGCTACTAGCTTCTTTTTGTGAAAAATAACAACCATATATTATAATCTTGAGAGGTGCCTTATCTTACAGCTGTTGTCTTTGTGTTGTGTTTGCTGTTAGATTGAAGACTCCATTCTCCAGTACTATGGAAGCCATACCAGAAGAGCAGTTCTGTATGCTCCTCCTGCCAACAGTAAAATCGAACGTCAGATCTGTCAGCGCATCCTGGCACAACATGGATATACAGTTACAGTTCTTGAAAACAGGAGATTGACAGAAGGGCCCAAACATGAGGGCCATTATCACAGTAAGAATGATGTTAATTACTTAATTCTTTAATTACCAAATGTTAGCTATTGATCCAACATTCTTCCACTGAGTTAAAACTTAAAATGTCTCAATATGAATTAAGATTGCAAACCAAATTCTAGTCCTTCCCAGTTACGCAGCTAGCTTTTCACAAAGATTCTTCCATTAGATGCTTCTTTCTATTAAAAAAAAAAAAAACCACAGCTGAGTTAGTACTGAAAACTAAATCAGATCAGTTCTGTTCCTGATGACTTTTCATACCAGCTTCATCAGTATATTCACTTGGTGATTTCCAGTAGAACATTGCATGACAACAAATATATGCTACATCTGGTTCTTTTTCTTATGCACACTAACAGGAAAGCTATATGCAGAAAGGTAGGCTTTTTGCCTGGGTAATGTTTTGATATTTTTATAATGTATATACTGAGCACATTAGAGAACACATATAGAAGAAGGGCATTTTTCACTTACAGCTAAAGATGAGGGGAATCTC